TAAAAGAATTTCTGAAATGTAAAGGATTCGAAATAGAAAGAAAGCGTTTAAATGCAAGAAATCAGTAAATGACTTTGAATGAAAAGGTATTAATGTAAAGAACATGAATATAAAAGCATGAAATGTAAAAGAATTTCTGAAATGTAAAGGATTCGAAATAGAAAGAAAGCGTTTAAATGCAAGAAATCAGTAAATGACTTTAAATGAAAATACTTTAATGTAAAGGCTTTTGAATGATATTGACATGAAGATAGAAGATAAACTGGAAATGATAAAGAGTTTTACTGAATCATAAATATTTGGTGTTATCATACGTACATTGCTCGAGCATTCGTTTCCCTAGCCATGTGGTATTTTGAATGTTTACTGAATTTTGTACAATAGATATGACACACGAAATCCTAACGCTAAGACTTCTATTTATACTACTTCGACCATAACGGTCTTGCTCATAAGATTCTGCCACGTTCAAAACATGCAGAGCACTGCTCCTCTCTAGCTTCCACGTGTCTTCGAACGCTCCAGCGCATATATTTTAAATTTTGAACATCCCGCTTGCGTTTGAATTTCAAATGTTTTGGCACTCTTCGCTTCGAACTTATTTCTTAAACACAGTCTCATTACCACTTCGAGGCTTCTTTTAAATATATCTTCACAACTGTCACTCGAAGCTCTGAGCTTTGACATGTTCGTTCGAAGAACTGCTTCTACCATTCCGAACCATAACATCTTGTTTTATTCCAACGAAACATCCAACTTGCTTCGTTTCGAACTGTATCATCAAAATCTTCAGCCAATACTGTGTCAGCATGCCTGGGAGTTAAATAAATAAATTAAATATCGGAGGGCCAACACGGCCCGTTGATTTTTCATGTTTTCCTTATTTTTCACTATTTGTGACCCAGATGGGCATTTTTGGTATTTCTAACTGACCTAAGTGAGTGTTTGCTATTTAGAGGAGTTTTCACGATGAATTCCAGGAATTTTTTGGCGGAAGAAGATTAGGAACGATAAAGATTGGGGCTTTCAAGATATTTAGAGACGGAGATTCCTTCATGATCGATAGCAATTGAAGATCGAAGAATCCTCATCTTTTGTAATATCTAATTTTATTATTGCTTTTCTTTTTAATACTATGAAAGGCTAAACCCTCCAATGTTATGGGGTGTCCCTGATTTTCAAATGTATTCATTTTGAATTCTTGGTATTGATACAATAGTTGCTTTTCACTTTAATTGTTCAATGTTCTTATGCATTTCCTATCGGACAAATAGGGATTGATCCACGGTTAATAATTAGGGCTGGACCGCCATTATTAAGGTTTTTGAACAATTAGACTATAATAGATATCACCTAGGACTAGGGATACCCTATAGATCATCGGTAAAATCTTGATAACATAACTGTTTGGTTTCTTCATAATTCACTAAGGACTTAGGTATTAGGATGAAGGACCAAATGTTTTCTCACTAAAGACTTAGGGGAAAACAAACTAAAGATTCAGTAGTTAAAAGTAATGAACTTGTTGAAGATATCAAGAATGAAGGTTAATACAAGGTCAAATCACAATCATAGCATGCTCCTCATATCTGTTAAAAAGCCATTTTATCTTTCTGTTGATTAAGTGACAATTTCAAAACCTTATCCCAAAGTAAAACTTTTGTTTAATTGAACTACACATTATCCTCAATACTACACGCAGTCCGCGAGATCGATATTCGGGAAAAAATCCCTATTATTACTGTAAGGAAAAATAGTACACTTGTTATTTTCCATATCACCTATCACAACAGTAACACTGAACCATTCTCTTATCATACTTCTTCTTTCCCTTCTGATGTTTCTTTTTATCAGAATAGAAGACTTCTGACTTCTGAGACCTACCATATTTTTCTTGCTTCTGGTCTTTCTTGATAAAAGAAGCCTTCAGAGTCTGCTCAACTTCCCTCTCAGAAGTTCTTTCAGTCAGACGCAACTCTTGCGCCTCTAGACTGCTTTGCAACTCTTCTATTTTCATGGTGTCCAGATCTTTAGAGTGTTCAATTGCTACAACAATGTAATCAAATTGAGGGGTAAGAGACCTCAATATCTTCTCAATGATTACTTATTCAGAAAGAGTTTCTCCACAAGCCTTCATCTCATTAGTGATCAGAATCACTCTAGAGATGTACTCAGAAACCTTCTCGTCCTTCGTGTTGAGATTCTCATACTGCTTTTTGAGAGACTGAAGCTTCACCTTCTTCACTGATGCGTCACCACCGTAGCACCTACTCAGTGTGTCCCACGCAGCCTTCACCGTCGTCGAATCAATAATTTTCTCAAACATGTTCTCATTCACACACTGATAGATGAAGAACAACATCTTCTGATCTCTCTTCCTTGTATCTCTCTGCGCATTTCTATGTTCCTCTGTCGCATCTGCTGCAACTGGAATATATATCAAGAACATCTTGAGCGCCAAACAACACACGCATCTGAATCATCCAATGATTCTAGTTTTTACCATTAAATACTAGAAGCTTGGTACTTAGACTACCGTTTTCGGTCATCTTCAACCTTGTGTAAGTCACTCAGATCTCACAAACACATTGTTTCTCAATCCCGTAGAATCAGAAAATGTAATTATGTTCAGATTTTGTTCAAAATTCAACACGAATTCAAGAACCAAAATCAATCACACAATGCCTCACCGTTTCACTTGTGTTTTCCGTGTTTTCCTGTGGATCTGAACTGGAGCTCTAGATACCAATTGTTAGCGCACAAGGTTAATAAATGAAGGAAATGTAAGAGAGAATAATATTAAAGCTCTACAATGATGGCTATAAAATTGTATGGAAGAATGATTGAGTAATGATTGCTTGGTTGTTACAATTGACAGCTACCACTAATCTATGTATACACAGAGTAAATTGTCACGTTGGCTCTAATCAAAATAAACTTAATGATTAAGTTAAAAGATACAAATTAAGAAATACTAAACCTAACAGCTACGCTAACAAACTCAGCTCCAGAATCCAGAAGCTAAACATATTTCTAAACACAACCTTAAAAATTTCTGCTTCTGAACAACACTATTTCTAAGTAACAACATCATAAACTTCTAACTCATACAAAATAATAAAGTTGGCATTACACTTTAAAAGTGATTTAAAACAAAAATAAAAAAATAGAGAGTGGTTGGTATTGGAAGAACGAACCACCTTTTTTCATATGCATGTGAGTATGTCCTTTCCTGTTTCGCGAATCGCTTAAATTAACCACTATCTCATATGCTTCTTCTACTTTATGCTTTGGATCAAGCTCACAATTTTATGGTTGGTGAGTTAGTACGTTTTTTCACACCCTTCATCTATATAAAGTGCTCAATGCGAGGGACCACCAGGACCATAACCCTACAAAAATTAATATTCTCACTGTGATTATCATTTTAACAAATAAATTTTGTTTTAAAATAATTATTATTTTTATTTTTTAATAAAATAATGATTATTATTTTTTCAATTGTGTTCTTTATTTTTTACTTTTTACATTATTTCAATATTATATTAATAAAATTAATTTTATAAAAGTATAATCTCTTATGAAACCACAGTCATTTTAAAATGGATAAAATATTATATTTATACTATTTAATATTGACATTGTTAATTATGAATATATTGATAAATATAAATAAAATTATATTTTACTCTTATATTCAGTCATATCATATCATTTGTTTAAATTTTTATATGTGATTTGGAAGAATAAAAATGATAATCAATTGATAGGCAGTGGTGTATTTTTTATTTTCTCTTTCCAAAATACTATTTTAATTGGTATTATAAGTTTAAAACTATTTTGCTGTGATTATAAAAAATAATTTTTAAACTTTATAAATTAATTTCTAATATTTTATTGCCTATTTATTTAACTTTGTTGTTGAAGTCGTTTTCTTTGTCCTTTGGAAACAGCATACGAAAGTGATGCCTTTTGTATTAAAAGTCTCACTAGCATTACTAATGCTCCATGACATGCTTTTCCCTTAATCTTTAGCATGTCACAAATCACACTTTGTATGATGACCAAAGCAAGCAATGGCCTTTTAGCAATAGCTTTTGATTTGAGCCACTTTTAGTTTAGCTTCATTGCTACTTAATTCTTAATTAAGAAGACGTCTAAATCCAATTATACAATCCATAATAGGTAACTAAAGTGGCTTCCTCACTTTCAATTAACTCATCAATAATTTTTTCAAATAGTACAATTTAAAAGAGCCTATAATTAGTATATTTTTTCTTCAAATAGTTTAGTTATTAAAAAGTGGAAATGAGATAATGAGGCCCTGACAAACGTTGCTTGCTTCTTAATCTTGTGTTCCCATCCAATGCCCTAATTTCATAAAACACTATTAATTACACATTATTAGCAGTTTGACTAAGAAAAGGAATTTTTCTGTCTCTCTCTCTCTCTCTCTCTCTCTCCATGCCTATCAAGAACATTAATTAGTTAGCAATATGCATGTAGCACACCATTCAATATAATTAAAGATTTGAGTTTCACAATTAGTTTCATTGGTCATTATATCAGCCACCACCCCCCTCAAACAAACAAACAAACCTCATCGTTTTCCTTCTCCTTAGATGCTCTTTTCACTCTCTTTCTTCCATTTTTTTATTACTAGTATTTTATTATATAAAACAAACACCATTTTTTTCCTTTTTCCCGCTCCCTGAATTATATGAAATCTTTCTTAGTAGTTTCTATGTGACCCCGTCTCTAAAGTTGTTTCCTTGTATGCTCTTTTTCTTTTTGTGAATTATTGGTTACTGTTTTGTTGCAGATTCACTTTAACTTGTGGATGTTTTACCTTTTCTGCTCGCATTATTTTCTTTCTTGTTTTCCGTGACTACCACCACTCTCCAGGTAATCAAACTTCCTTCCAAATACCGCAAACTAGTAATTTCTTCTCTTCAATACAAAAACCAAAGTTTCTCATTGAATGTGCAAAGCAGGACAAGATGGAAAAAGGAGAGAGCAAGAAAATGTCAGCACGCAATGCTTCGAGAAACGAGCGTCGGGAAAGGAAAATGGCTTTGATACAAGATGTGAGTGTGACATGTTTCTTACATTATGAATTCTTCTTCACATCATTCATAGAGTGTTACTTATGGTGCTCTAAGTTTGCAGGTTGATAAGTTAAAGAGGAAGCTAAGACATGAAGAGAATATTCATAGAGTGTTAGAAAGAGCACTTACAAGACCTCTGGGAGCCCTTCCTCGGCTTCCACCTTATCTCCCTCCTCGTGTAAGTATCTCCATCTGCATGAAAAATACAGATTAACTCAGTGATTCATCAATTGTAAATGTGTGTTCTATATTTTAGACATTAGAGCTTGTGGCTGAAGTTGCCGTATTGGAGGAAGAGGTGGTTCGATTAGAAGAGAAGATTGTGAATTTCAGACAAGGTTTATACCAGGAAGCTGTATACATTTCCTCCAAGAGGAATGCGGAAACTCCAATTGATCCAATGGAGCACAATTCCATCACAGGATCCAAACATCAAAGGTCAAAATCTTTGTCTCAAAGTGACCTTAACTCTAATACAGTTAAGCCTCATATTTCTCCTGCCAGAAAGCTAGTCAATGGGAAGGAATTACATTCAAAACAAGATTCCTTATCATCGATCCCAGAAGACAAATCTCTTGCAAAGAAAACGGAAAAGGTTATCACTCCAGTGAAGAAATCACCAACCAAACAAGAATCATCCGACAAGAGTGTAGATCACTTGAAGTTGCAGGTACTCAGCAGTTTTCAATGGTTAACATTCCATGTTTCAAATGATCGAGCTGTCATTTTAACAATCACTTTTTGTTTTTGATTGTTCAGCTGGAGAAGAGATTAGTAGATCAGGACAGAGCACAAAACTCGTCAATTTCATCAGATGATAAGGTGTTAGAAGTTGATAGTACGCCAAATAGAGTTTCAGAGGATATTGTCAAGTGTTTATGTAGCATATTTATGAGAATTGGCACATTCAAGGACAATTTAGGAGAGTCAAAAACAAAAACACCTCCACGTGATCCATACGGCATCTGTTCAGTATCCAAAACTAGAAATATTGGTGCCTACAATAGTTTTTACGAGATTAAAGCACCCACCGTTGATTTCAACCGAATGAGAAATGCAGTGTTTCTGACCAATAGATTAAAGTAAGTTATATAGTTTTATTAACTTTTCTCTGTTGCTATCTATGAGTATCTGTCTAATCTAATAGACATGTTCAGGTTCCTATTTGGGAAGCTTGCTTCTGTGAACTTGAAGGGTCTTACTCATCAGGAGAAACTTGCATTTTGGATAAACACTTATAATTCCTGTATGATGAATGTATGATACTTTTCCGTGAATCATTTACTACTTATTGGCTCTTTGAAGACTAGATGTATATTTGATGTCACATATCAAAGTAACTTTGCTTAATATGTTGATTATTTGGTTCGAATATATTGTAGGCATATTTTGAGAATGGCATACCCGAGAGTCCTGAAATGGTTGTAGCACTGATGCAGAAGGTACGATAATCTCTCTTAACTTTCTCAAAGTTTGTTTCTTTTTTAAGAACAAATTATTCAGTGCTCAAAAACATGGCAATGCTTGTGACAGGCAACAATAGTAGTGGGTGGCCACTTGCTCAAGGCAATTACAATAGAGCATTTCATATTGAGACTTCCTTATCATCTGAGTTTCGTAAGTGCATAATCTATTCTCTGCTCGTGCTTCTAAACATTATGTAGCCTTTCTAATACTTTGAAGTCCTTGTCATGTTTTGTAGATTACAATTCATTCCTTGATTTTCATCTTTGCTTCCTGCAACAGACCTGTCTAAAAGCTGCGAAAAACTATGAGATGAAAGCAAGAAGCATATTTGGCTTGGAATGGACCGAGCCTTTGGTTTCATTTGCACTTTCCTGTGGAAGCTGGTCTTCACCTGTGGTATGTTTGTTTCTCAATTTAGATGGCAATATGACATGACATAAATAGAACTTACAAAACTCTGACAATCATTACCATACAAGGTATACGTCAGTTTTGTAGGATTGAGTTAGGCTTTAAAACTGAGATGTATTATAATCTATCCTAAATATAGTTAGCATTATTAGTCATTCTTAATGTGGATGAATTCATAAGTCAGTGTATTTCCTAATGTGGCTGGTTGAATTGATGGAACAAATATATATATTTTTATGTTATGAAGGTAAGGGTGTACACAGCATCACAAGTTGATAATGAGTTAGAAGCAGCAAAGAGAGATTATTTACAAGCAGCAGTTGGCATTACAACAACAAACAAGTTAATAATTCCAAAGATACTTGACTGGTTTTTACTTGACTTTGCAAAGGACTTGGAATCTTTGTTGGATTGGGTCTGCCTTCAGCTACCTGTTGAGCTGAGAAAGGAAGCAGTTGAGTGCCTTGAAAGAAAAGGAAGACAGCCTCTTTCACAGCTGGTCCAAATGATGCCCTATGACTTCAGTTTCAGGTTGCTTGTACACCAATAAACCGATTTTTTTCTTTTTCTGGACAACCACAAATAACCCAATTAGAGGTGATGTTAGTGACTCGGTTCTTCAATCAACATGGGTTACTGAACTTTGATGTGGTGGATTTTGTATATTGGATAGTGCACATAGAAAGTAGATAGCAAACAGTGTTTCCTTTCCTTTGGTAGGGTTTTGACCTTTGTAAACTGTAATAAGGTTCTTAGCAATAAGCATAGCTATTACAGGGGAAAAATGCCACGACCCCACCAAATAAAGAGATCTTTGAAAAATAATCTGACAGAAACATAATCTTTAAAATATTACTATGGCAGTAACAATATATACAACGTGGAATAGTTTTTTAGCAATAAAGTTTAAGGGGAGTGATTGTCTCATTTCAAATACATAATAAAATATTGTTGCAATGCTATTCAATATTACCTGTTAACTTTCATTGACAACTCAGATTAATTCTAAAGCAGAAGATGATGTTTTATGAGGTAGAATGTAATTATGCTATTCAACTTTCTGTTTGTGTCTTCAAAAAGGATCAATATGTATTACAAATTATTGGATAACAAAACCCTCTAACTACAGAGAAAAAATCACCCAGAAGGAAAAATCATGTTAAAGAATGCGCCGGGAGCAGACTGGAGAGATCATCTCAAATAACCATTACAAAACTCAGGCTGTATGCATAAAATTCAGAAACTCGTACGAGAAAATTTTTCTCCCTTCCTATCAGTTGTGTGTCCTTCTTACAGTGAAGTTATGATAACAGCTTCTGAAGGAAGCACACACTACTAGGGGGCTCAACCAAATGGGGAAGGAACTGGGCCAACTGACCCAGTGAGTGTATCTGATCTTTTGATGCTTCCCATTCCACAGATTAAACATCCAGGAGCATTCACAGCAGAAAATTTGGATCCACATAGATCACATACATCATATCCGATGGTTGACAGTCTGCTTAATGTGGCAGCACAGAACTGCGAAGGATCTTCCTGTGGATCAATGGATCTGTTAGTCAAACCTCTCTGAACACACAAGTTCATCAGGCTCCTAAATTCCTCCTGCTTGCTCGCAGGTGCTTTTGACAATAGTAGTTCTAGCATTTGCTTGGAATATGCATAATTTTGCACCTCCATGTTTCGTTTTATGGCAGTTCGAATGCAATTTATTCTGTGTTTAGCCAGAAGAGGCAATGAACCCAGATGACGTGAAAGTCTTGCCATCTCATCTTTTGCACTGACTGCCCTTGAACCATGAACTCTTTGCAAACGTCCGATTTCCTGCAGTCACAAGGACATCTTAAAATTAATAAAAGGAATACAGATATGAAAAAGTAAAAGAAATTCTGAACTATGTACATATCTAATATAGACATTATATGGCAACAAGATTAAAGACCAATATTTCTTAGAATTTGAGTTGGACTTATCCTATGAAGCACAGACTCCGACACGGACACCGCGACAGGACATAGACACTGACACTTTGACACCGGTAATGTAAAAAATATAAGACACCGACACCGACACCGACACCGCTATGTATATGACAATATTTGAGTTTCATTTATCCCTCTATCATTAAAAAATTCTAATCATAATTAATATTTTTTAATTCTTCATTGATATTATTGTTTTAAAACATGTTTAATCTTTTTAGACATGTATGAGATTTATCTAAAAAATGCATAAGGTGTGATGAAACAAAAAGAACAACAATTTCTTGTTGAAAAACTTGTCGGAATTGTGACACGTGTTGTATGAGTGTCATACTTGTGTCGGACACCGTTTCAACAAGTGCCGAAGCATATAAAAAAACTATTTTTTTGACGACACTTGTCTGATTTTTCCGACATATGTTTGACTTTTTCGACACGTGTCGTACGGGTGTCATACAAGTGTCGGACACCGACACGTGTCAGACACCGCGGTACACCTACACCTAGAGGTGTCCGTGTTTCATAGGGCTTAACTCAAACTTATAAAACCGGCATATAATATGAATTTCGCTCCGACTTATACACATTTTCAGACTATATCCCACACACCCAACACTATTGGTCTTGTGTATGGATAAAAATGAGCTGATAGCATGTTGCCCAACGAATCGATAGGCTCTGGTTACATCTTAGTGCTTGAGTTGGGCCTAACGCAATCTTATAAAACTGACTTGTAAGATGAGAGGCATCTCTCTTTATAAACCTTTTTTGAGCTGTATGTCTAACCAATGAGGTACAAAACCGGCATATAATATGAAGTTTGCTCCGACTTATACACATTTTAAGACTATATCTCACACGCCCAACACTATGGTCTTGGTGTATGGATAAAAATGAGTTGATAGCATGTTGCCCAACGAATCGATAGGCTCAGGTTACATCTTAGTATTTGAGTTGGGCCTAACGCAATCTTATAAACTGACTTGTAAGATGAGGGGCATCTCTCTTTATAAACCTTTTTTGAGCTGTATGTCTAACCAATGAGGGACTTGAGATTTTCTCAATACATCCCCTCACACCCAACACTATTGGGTTTAGTTCGTGGATATAAAAGGTGGGTGGCCCATGGTCCGATTGATAGGTTCTGATACCTCAACCTTACAAAACTAACTTCTAAGGTGAGGGATGTCACTCTATATAAACCATTTTCTGATTCTATGTCTAACCAATGTGGAATTTGAGATTTTCTCAATAGCTCAAATCGTTAGGCTCTGATACCATCTTAGAATTTAGGATGGTCTTACTCAACCTTACAAAACCAACTTGTAAGGTAAAGATTGTCTCCACTTATAAATGTATTTTCAAACCATATCCTTATCTACGTGAGACCCTTAACAATTTCTCACTTGTCAGGTATGATTGACCACCAATGAGTCCACAAAAATATTAACACTTGATTCAGAAGTGTAGATTAAGGTTTAATTTTATTCCTCACAGCCTAGACTAAAATGAATTAAAACCCGCCTTGAATTCTATATCAATTACGGAAAAATTTACACCCGTTCAGGTCTAATTTCATACCATCTATGACATTAGCAGAGATCATAATAATCCCTTTTATTGTCTCTAATGCTTTGCTATCTCAGGAGTCAGCTATCTTTACAAAAACTTTAACTACACAGCAAATATTGACAGAAGAAAAAAAAGTCTAACTACAGTTTTATGATAATGCTTCCTCACGGCCTAGAGTAGAGATACGGAAGGTCAGTAACCTAATGCATTTTTAGGTCAGAGTCCATTCTCCATTATTAAAATTTGTAGCATGGTCCTGATACCTGAAGAAGAGTGACTGTTATCTTGTATTGAGCACAGATTGTTGCTTGAGCTTTTATATCACTTCCGCGAGATTGTTCCTTAGCTAATGCAAGAAAAGCTTCATCAAAGCAAGACAAAGCATCTGGAAGATTATTGAGCTCAAGGTGAGCAAGTCCAGTCTTGAAACATACAGAGGCAGCAGCCTCTTGAGGAACCTGTCATAAAGAGTCATGATATTGGGAACAAATAAATAAATAAATCATACATGCTCAGTAATAGGAAAGTGGAACTAGAACATGGTTATATTGAAGAACTATCTGAGTTCCTTTATCAGCTTCCATTATAGTATCAGACCCTTACCTGTACGTTACCAAAGATAAAAAATAAAAAATAAAAAATAAAGGAAAACGATGGAGACATTACAAAATCTTCAAGTTCTTTGCTCCTACCCTTACCAATCCTAACCAAAACCTTGCTTTCTTCACCCTCCTTCTCACTTTATTCTGTTTTACTAACAGAATCAGGTCCCAGCCCCACCTGTGATGTGTGCACGTTACTGCTCACTTATATTCCCCCAAACTGATCACCTCACATATTTCCTCCATTGTCTCCACATGCCACTAGTTTCCTCCTTTTATTTTCTTTCTTCCTAAAGAACCCCTTAGGATGTGTTTGGTAGAGTAGAAGTAGGAAAGAGAGAAATAGGTGAGAAAGAAGTTAAAGACAGATTGATAACTTCTCTTGTTTGAGAAGAAGAGAAATTGAGAATAGAGATTAAAAAAATGTGGACCTCACACCTTTTATATTTCTCTTTAGTTATGAAGAGAAAGTGAGAAAAAACAAATTAAGATAGCAAAGTGACTATTTTGCCCATTAATTATAAATCTATATTTTTTAAATCATATTTATTATAAGGGTATTATAGTACTTGTTGATATTTGTAAATATATAATGTTAAGAATATTTGTACGTAGAATAGTCCCACATCGATTATATAGTGCAATTAGTTGTAATCTCTCTATATATAATAAAGTCTCCGTAGTGCTTTCATCACACACGGTTTAACCTAAATGTCTCTTAGTCTCTCCTAATTCAATATGGTATCTAGAGTCTTCTAAGAGACAATTCTTTGTCGTGCTTTTTTTCCAGCGACCTCCGCCAAGCACAGTCCACCGGAAAAAAAAAATTTCTCTCTCGGGAAATCGCCTTCCTCCTCCGGTTCCAGATCCGCCCTCGGTTTTCGTTTTCGACTCACAGAAAGTCGTACTCTCGGAAAGTCGTACACTATACAGACTTCACCTTCTCTTCAGAACCCTACGCCAAGCTACGAGGATTTTCTCAGGTGGTGTCAGACTAACCAAACCTCTGGTTCCACGACTTCGATTGCACACACTGGTAATTCATCTGTTTGCGTCTCTCAATCATCTCCTCTTGGTCCTTGGGTCCTCGACTCTGGTGCGTCTGATCATGTTACCGGTAATAAAAATCTTTTCTCTTCCCTTTCTACCTCTGGTTTCTTACCGAGTATAACTGCCGCAAATGGTTCTCAAACCCGATCCCAAGGGATCGGTACTGTTCAAATTCTATCATCTCTCTTTGTTACTTATGTCCTATATGTACCTAATTGCCCATTTAATCTACTGTCAGTCAGTCGTTTAACTCGTTCCCTTAATTGTTCTATCACTTTTACTAACAATGATGTTATTCTGCAGGATCGAAATTCGGGACAGACGATTGGCGTCGGATGTGAGTCTCAAGGCCTCTACTACTTCTCTACGTCATCTACCACATGCTCCACCACAGATTCTCCACTCATTATACATGCGCAGTTAGGTCATCCAAGTCTTTCCAAGCTACAAAAGTTGGTGTCCAGTTTATCTAAATTATCCACTTTACAGTGTGAGTCTTGTCAACTAGGGAAACGTACTCGTAGTCACTTTCCTGATCGAGTCAATAAACGGGCTGCGTCTCCTTTTGCTTTAGTTCACTCTGATGTTTGGGGTCCATCGCGTACTGTATCTACTTTTGAGTCTAAGTATTTTGTAACATTTATTGATGATTTTTCACGTTGCACGTGGCTATTTTTAATGAAAAACAGATCTGAATTATTTTCTATTTTTGAACAGTTTTATCGAGAAATAAGAACCTAATTTGGTTTGTCCATTCGTACCTTAAGAAGTGACAATGCACGTGAATATTTATCCCAACAATTTCAAAGTTTTATGTCATCCAATGGTATTCTACACCAAACATCTTGTCCTCATACACCTCAACAAAACGGAATAGCCGAACACAAAAACCGACATCTCGTAGAAACCACTCGGACTCTACTTCTCCATGGTAATGTCTCTCTCAGATTTTGGGGGGATGTTGTGCTCACGGCGTGTTATCTCATAAATCGCATGCCCTCATCTGTCCTTAATAATAAAATCCCTCATTCAATCTTGTTTTCAAACTCTCCTCTTCATCCAATTCCTCCTCGAGTCTTCAGATCTACATGTTTTATGCATAATCTCTCCCCTGGTCTTGATAAACTATCAGCTCGATCACTAAAGTGTGTCTTTCTTGGTTATCATCGATCCCAAAAGGGTTATCGTTGCTACTCCCACACTCTGCAACAATACCTAATATCGGCCGATGTTACCTTCTTTGAGTCTGTGTCATATTTTGCGTTCATCCAAGTCACTCCGGAACCCCTTCAGGAAAGTACTCCCACACCTCTTCCGGACGTCCCATTTCCCATTATTCCCCATCATTCTAGGGAACCTGTCCTACGAGAAACCCTACGGTTGACCCCCCCATTTCTCGTCCACTTCAAATATATCAGCGTCGTAAACCAACGTCTGTCATACCTGTCCCTGAGGTCATTGCAGACTCTCCTCCAACGCTATCGTCATCACCAGATTCGATCCTGCAACCTGAGTCTGATCTTCTGATTGTCCTTCGCAAAGGTATACGTCAAACACGAAATCCTTCTCCACATTATATTGATTTATGTTATCATCGTCTTTCCCCTTTGCAGTATACTTGTTTGTCCTCTTTGTCTTCTGTTTCTATTCCTAAATCTCCAGGTGAAGCATTATCTCACCTTGAGTGGAGGCAAGCAATGATTGATGAAATGTGTGTTCTTCAAAGCAGTGGTACCTGGGAACTGGTTCCTCTACCCACTGGAAAATCTTTAGTAGGTTGTCGTTGGCTTTATACAATGAAGGTTGGTCCATATGGTAAGATTGATCGTTTTAAAGCTCGCTTGGTAGCCAAGGGATACACTCAGATTTTTGGGTTGGATTATAGTGATACCTTCTCACCTGTAGCCAAGATGGCATTTGTTAGACTTCTTCTAGCCATTGCAGCCATTCAACATTGGCCTCTTCATCAACTTGATATCAAAAATGCATTTTTACATGGTGATCTTGAAGAGGAAGTATATATGGAGCAACCACCTGAGTTTGTTGCTCAGGGGGAGTCATTGAATATGGTTTGTAGGCTACACAGGTCTCTTTATGGTCTTAAGCAATCTCCGAGAGCTTGGTTTGGCAGATTCAGCACTGTAGTACAACAATTTGGTATGGTCCGTAGTGAAGCTGACCATTCTGTCTTTTATCGTCACTCAGTAAAATGGTGTATTTATCTTATTGTGTATGTAGATGATATTGTCATAACTGGTAGTGATGAGTCGAGAATATTCCAGTTGAAACAACACCTTTCAAATCAATTTCAGACAAAGGATCTTGGTAAACTCTGGTATTTCTTGGGTATTGAGGTAGCCCAATCTAAAGATGGTTTGGCGATTTCTCAGCGGAAATATGCTATGGATATTTTGGAAGAAATAAGTTTGTTGAACGCTAAACCAGTTGATACTCCTATGGATCCAAGTGTCAAACTACTACCCAATCAGGGGGAGCCTCTATCAGACTCGGGAAGGTATAGGAGATTGGTTGGAAAGTTGAATTATCTCACAGTAACTCGTCCAAACATTTCTTTTGCAGTCAGTGTGGTAAGTCAGTTCTTAAATTCCCCTTGTCAGGAACACATGGATGCTGTTATCCGGATTCTAAGATACATCAAATGTGCTCCAGGAAAAGGTTTAGTGAATGAAGATAAAGGACATATTCAGATAGTTGGATACTCTGATGTTGATTGGGCAGGGTCACCAATTGATAGACGATCCACCTCTAGGTATTGTGTACTTGTTGGAGGAAATCTTATATCCTGGAAAAGTAAGAAACAAAATGTAGTTGCAAAATCAAGCGTCGAGGCAGAGTATAGGGCCATGGCAATGGCAACATGTGAACTCATTTGGTTAAAACAGTTGCTCAAAGAACTTAAAATTGAAGAAGCAAGACCAATGACACTTGTATGTGATAATCAAGCTGCATTGCACATTGCTTCAAATCCAGTCTTTCATGAGAGGACCAAACATATTGAGATAGACTGTCACTTTGTCAGAGAGAAGATCGAATCTGGCGAAATTGTCACAAATTTTGTCAACTCTAATGATCAATTGGCAGATGTGTTTACAAAATCTCTGCGAAGCCCCAGAACTAATTATATATGTGACAAGCTTGGTGCATTTGATTTATATGCTCCAGCTTGAGGGGGAGTGTTGATATTTGTAAATATATAATGTTAAGAATATTTGTATGTAGAATAGTCTCACATCAATTATATAGTGTAATTACTTGTAATCTCTCTATATATAATAAAGTCTCCGTAGTGCTTTCATGACACACGGTTTAACCTAAATGTCTTTTAGTCTCTCCTAATTCAATAGTACTTTAAAAATATGTAACACTTCTCTCTTCTATATTTCTTCTAAGATGTTTATAGGTACCCTAGCTCAATAAGAACATTTTTCTTAGCAAACCTTCATAGTTTCCTCTATCTCTATAATCCACCAAATAGTGAAAGTAAAATAACAAAATGAGCATTCCTTTCTGTTTATGCTGCATGCTGGTTTAATCCAGTGCAGAACACCGGATTCTTGCATGCCTTTTCTGTTCTTTCCAAATATATGGAAAATACCGTTGAATTTCAAAAAAAAAAAAGTGGCACACACAAAGTATATTTACTAGTCTGGTTAGAAAGTGTTCCTAGTTCCACATGTATATGAATGCATGTACATATTTTTATCTTCAGTATGTGCATGGATGCCTCTCTATATATATACCTGTCCAGGTCGTACAGAAGATGGTGGAGACCCAACTTGTGCAGGCTTATCAACAGAATTCGGTACTCCAAGCACGCTAAGATCAAGAGGTTGGGTAGAAATTGCTTCCTGCCGCTGTGATGGGGGCATTCCTGCCGCCTGAGCAGAGTATTGTGGTGGCAAACCACCATCAGGAAATCCAATGGGATCATTTGAAACTACTGGTTGTTGAACAGCTTTCGGAGGAACATTGCCTACATCAGCTTCAGAAGCACTAAATTGGTTAGCAGTTTCCTGGCTGCCTTCTACACCTGGAGTAAGTTTAGACAGATACGACCCAGCAGGACGCAGTGTAGCAGCAACCTGGAGGGATGAAACAGTATTCTGAAAGAAATCCTCTGGAATAGGCCCTCTACCTTCAGACCCAGTTGCTGGTTGTGAAATTGATCCTGGTCGAGTAAAAGCTTCTGTACTAAACAGGTCGCCGGGAGTTGAAACCGTACGAGCAGACATTCCTGTTGTTACAGGTGGCAGGCCCGAAATCTGGCTAAAATCTTGTGATCCACTGGATAAAGACCTGCTCCTTGATGAAGTTATCCCTGCTGCAAGTTTAAATTTACTAGCTGCTTCTTTAATTTTGTTCACATCCACAGAAGGTTCAATTGGTTTCTCTCTTATTCTAACATGTATTTTTTTGGTTTTTGATACTCCTTCCTCATCGCTACTGCTATCAGCAGCAGCAGATCCATACATTGATTTTTTAAATTCTTCTGCTGCTTTAGCCTGTTTATCAGCAGAAGAACTAGCAAGCTGTTTGTTAAGACTCTCCAGACCCATCAGTGAATCACTTTGGGTCTTATCAACCCCCTTCAATTGATTAGGTAGGGATTTAATTGGAGATAATTCAAGATCATTGGCTTTAACATCACTGCCTGCCATTGTGATGGCTTTGACCAAGTTATCTTCCTTTACCTCTACAACATTGCCTCTTCCTTTAATTGAGCCTAAATACACACCAACGTGATCTACAATGATGGATGGAATCGCAGCATCATCAGTCTTCATATATGGTGTCACCTCTGCAGCAAGCTCCCACTTAGGTATATCCTTTGCAGTAGCAAGGGTTTTGATTTCCCAGTTTCCACCACCCCACTCAGGTCCTTTAGGAACCATACTTTCTGCAGCAAAGTTGGCAAATATGCCTTGTGTCCATCCAGTAGATCTAATTCGTAAAATCCTTTCACAATGTCGCCTCAATTCGGAGTCAAGATCTTCTTCTTCCAACTTCTGAGCAAGACGCCTCATGGCGCTAGGATTAAGGTGGCATATAAACAGATCAAGCATGCTTTCGTAATCTGCAGTAACTTCAAAGGTTTCTTTTGCTTTATCAAACTGTCCAAACCTGCAAGTAATCTCAAGTTACAAAAGTAAACAAACATTTGGATCAACCATTCATGCTATTCAGAGAACGACATTACACCTCATCAATAGCATGAAATCTGCTAGAATTTCGAGAAAATTAGTAATGATGGAACACACAAACATCATATTTTAGTGGTCCCTCTATCTAGAATAACAGAAACGTGCCTACCTGATACATGAATAACCCAACTGTCTGAACCTGTGAAATAAATGAGATGTCGGAGGGCATCGTGGATAGTCTCTTGAACGCAGAAACTCATCTTTCAAAACAGATGAAGCTATTGAAAAATGAAGAGATTTCACAGCATAGGCCCCCCGCATCACCTAAAATAAAAACCCAAGATCCCTAAGAGATCAGATAGAGAATAACTAAATGCCTAGATAAAGAGAACCCCTACTTACCTGGGTGAACTGTGGACCTGATTGGGATAATGACACAGCTAAATCTCCACAAACAGGAGAACCTAAAGCAAGGATGTCCAGAGACCTTTGTGTTACACGCAAGCTGTCAAATCTTAATTCAGATGAAAATTGACAGTGTCAGTAGCTGCCAGCTTTAACATAAAGTAAAGAAATGTGAAATGATATCATGAATTCTAGAACTTTCTCCATTATAAAGTTAGATTGTTTAAAAGGATACTATTTGGTAGCAGAGAATGAAACCTTGATGTTATTTGGTATAGTATTTCTGACAGTTCGAGCTTCTGCTTAAAACTTTGTTGCATTGTGACAAATCCAATGAGAAGAGGCTCAAGAAGACCAACAAGACAGCTTTTAATCTCGACTCCCTTCTTCTGTCTGGGATTTATCTCTGTCGGACTAGCAAGCAACAACCGATCATTCAAAGCACCAACCAAGACTGCATAAGAAAATAGATCAATAGGACATAACCTGGAAAGAATAGTACTGTAGTTGATAAGTAGAACAGACGAAATAGCTGGCTAAGATATCGTGAAGTCACTGAACGGAGCAAGGTAATTACCTGCACGAGGCATACTAATTGAGAGAATGGTCCTCACTTTTCCATCCCAGCCTAGTATACTGATTGCAGTAGCAGTAGAAAAAAGAAGGGCAGGCCCAACCCATAAGAGTGATCTGAAGTAGGCATCAATTAAGGAATTAAGAACACAAACATATCAAAAAGGCATATGAAATTTTTGACCTGCTTAGCTGAGTATGAGGAAAGGAGGAAGGTAGAAGCAGAGGAAAGAGTGAATATGGCTTTAATTAACGTGATGCGGTTCATCTCCAACTGCTCATTTCTTTAAAAAATTCCACCTAATCATTCAAAACCCCCTTAATATGAATAAATGGTTCAACTAAATAACATTCAAGGATATCGGAGGAAGTCCCTTGTCAAAATTTGTAGAAGTGCCAGCAAGTATATCGAGTGCTGCAGAAACAATAAGAACTCTCTGAGTTGTCAAAACTCCTGCAACTTGACCCCTCAGAGTCTCTTGCCAATGCACCTGACAAATTTGAAAAAATGTGTTATAGCAAGCAGAACCAAAATGTAGAACCATTTGATATTATTTGTTCCGTAATGCAGATTCATTTTATTTTTAGGTATGTAGGGGCAGAAGGTATAACCATTGTGTTGTTGGCTCATTCAATTGTGCTCAAACTCACGATTCTATGTGAGTCTGCATGATTCCTATGTAGATCTACCCGACTTTACATAGAAACAATATAATAAGCAAGTTAACTCGACTCTAATACCAAGACTCTTAAACCGGTGTGATTCTATTAGTTAACTCGAGAGTTGCGAAGAGGGCAGTCAGATAGCCGCACAAGGTGAGAGGGGAAGCTGATGAGGTCATTTCAGAGAAGAAATGGCAAAGACAAGAGAAGAGGGTCCTATTTCATTGTCATTCAGAATTTTAAGAATCATCTGAAGGCAAAAAATAGGGAACGGCTGTAAGTTCAGGGCGAAAAATAGCTAAACAGGTAAAATGATTAAAAAAAACCAACAAATATTTTAAAATTTTTGAGTTTCAGGTTAGCGGTTACTACAATCGCTATTTGGCAACTATCTGATCTCAATCGGCGATGCTGCAGCTGCTACTCAAAACCGCAATGCAATGAGTTTCTTGTAGCTCCTAGGGCTCACTACGCTACACCGCTGTAGAGACCGCTATCGACTATAGGGCCTTTTGTCTCTCCATTTTCTTTATTTTCTCCACTTGTGCTTGATTGCAGAAAAACTGTGTATCTCTACTAGTTCTTGTCATAATTAAGCATGCAACTGAGTGATACCTGGAGTACAATCTCATTTATTTTCAACTTGAGTGACTTTTTCCCCTCGCTATTGCTTGATATATACTGTCCATTAGAAGTTGAAGTAGAAGTTAAAAGGCGATACCCTTCTACGAGCTTCACTAATCCAATTTGGTTTCCATGAGAAGCGAACATCAGCGTTGAATCTACAACCAAGAAAACTAATTGTTACTTTATATTATTAAGCATCTAAAAATGTGTGTATGTCTTGGTGTGGATGGGGAATACATAGAGACCGGTTTAAGACTTGATATGCTTTTGAAGAATGATATCTTTTAGAAAACTACCAATCCAACCTGTGAAATGTGAGTAAATAGTATGTAAATGTTGCTGGCTAAATTTCAGAAAATGTAAAACAAGAAAAAGTTTTACAGAAGAAGCATAGATATTTCTATGTATTTGAAAACTAAAGTGTACATTAATCTTAAAACTGTTTGATGGAGCACATGAAGCAAATAATAGGAAATTTAATGCGTATGCATGAGTGGACTTTGGATGAAATACACCCTATAGAAGGTTATTTATTTGTCATATATGAATTTTGATTTATGTCATTATCAATGAATCCCATGTCTACACACCAAAAAAAAAAAAATCTATATATGTATGCGTGAATATAGGTATGTATTCAACTTTCAGGCACCTAAAGGATTAGAAAAGATACGATCAACTTCAGTTTCAAACATAAATGGTGTTGGGCCTTTAATTGAACCATCACTAGTTTCTGTAGGTTGATTTTCTTCAAAAGCTTTTTCAATTTCCTTCGGATCTATTGAGGGCCCTCCCGGTAGAGTAAATACTGCTAACCCTGTCTTGTCATCATCAAGAATAGCAAACTGATTTTCATTGGGACCAATAAATGCTGCATCTATACCTGTAGACAACTGCTTGAATCATTTTATAGCACATAATGCATAACCAAACTGTGGCTGAAAGAGAAAAGAAATGTATTCCTCACACAAAAGTACCTTTCACAGTGCTGCTTTTACTGTTTACCGTCTCTACTTCAGTATTTTCCCGATAAAGCACAACTTCAGTTGTAATGCCACTAAATTCATAAGCTACAAGAAACAGGTGTTGCTTTTTACTGTAAATCAAGTAATTTGCTTGATACTCCACATGGCCAGGAATCTATAAAATTTTGCGAAACATTAAAAGACTGGATATTGACATGATACTCCTTTGCAAAGTATAAATAGTTACAACATAAACTATATTATGTAATGGATGGTATCAATAGAATTAGAGGGACAACACAGCAATATTTGTTGAAGTTACTATGCTCTACATTACCGAATTATAGAGCTTTTTGTAGGTACTCTCCAATCCAGATGAGAGATTATATGCCATAAGATTTGGTCCATCCACATAAAAAGCCCTGACTGGATAATGAAGAACTCGGTTCTCTTTATTGAAAAAATTAAGCTCCAAATGGAATGGCTGGTAGTGCATGAAAAAGGTTTTAGGTGATTGGACAAAAAGGTCTAATAAGGTTCATCAGTTCCTAATCAAATTTCCATAGAAACGTTACCTGGACAACAGGGATGTGCTTCAGATGATGCTTGGTATCTAGAACAGCGATGACGGGTAGGCGAGATATGGGGGCACTTTTTGTATGGCCTTCGATAAAATGCTACAAGAATAATGCAGAAGATCAAAAATTGAGACAAGGCAAGGAGATTTCCTAAAGCTTTCTAAGGAAATTATACATAGGACTGCGGGGAAATTTGAGCCATCAAATTTTATTGTCAAATTAGAGAGTCACATTGTAGCCATTTCACCTTCTGACACTGGTATTTATAAAAAAGTAATACAATAGGAAAGAAACGTACACTGTGAAGAAAAGCCTTCCTTGCAATATCTGATATTGTAAGATGACTATGACTGCAAGAAAGAGAGTAGATTGTCAATAATGACATATAAATAATTATGAATTAGCACAAATCAAAGATCCCATGGCATTTATAGCTGCTTGAAGTCCACAGGCATGTAATTGTAGGAAACACAGAAATTCAGCCAAAAGTGATGGTTTACACCCCTTTTGATTATTGTAGTATGTGTTTGGAAACACGGTGGGGGACCGTACATTTCCCTGATGCTAAAAATTGAAGCTTCACTTTTTTCATGTCTTTTTGCCTTTGTCCCGCACGTTTATAGGTTGATGCAGAACCAAACATGCATTAATCATAATCAATCTTATCAAGTCCCTTTCATAAGTGTTTATGAAAATTAGTGCTAACGCAATACAAAACAATTTTGAATTAAACATTTTTCTTTTGTACCTCTTCATGGTCTAAAAGTTTTTTCCTATTCTTGATTTTGGAATTTGGACGCTAAAGCTGAATTTATCTCTGTCCACCTTAACCATTACTAGACCATTTAGCACCCCAAAAGTCCTAAGTTCAATCGTCTTTTGGGTGGACTTATAAAACTTAGAAAATTGAGATGCAACCTCATAGACCAACTCTATTTAAGCAGCATATTGATCTTGTGTAAATACCTAAGTACTTCAATTAAGGAAATGGAGAAGGATAACGAGTTAAAAATATGAAAGTTGATGGAAAAATTCTACCCAAGTGAGAGATTAATATATTATACATACGGCACAAATTTATTTATTGACAAAAATATATGCAAACAATAATTGGTTTCACCAAAGAAGTACACACCAGATGTAAGTCAGGCTCAAATTGCAAGACTTGTAAATTTCCCCCCACTGGTGGAAGCCACATTGGGGAACCAAACACACTCCTAACTATAACTTAAAAGAAGCCAGTGGAAATTTCATGATGATGGTAACATCTATGTCTTCCATCATAGGTTTGAGGGTCAAGGTTGACTAATATGGAAACCTACATACATCTTTGATTTGTGAAGAAGTTTTGTTCATTGAAAAGTTAAGGAAAATGGTTTCATAGAACATACTGAGAAACAATACAATTCTCAAAAATAGATAACTTCTAATTGAAAAATCAGTCCAAGAAGGAGCATAATGGACAAATACAAAAACTTTCAATTAAAGTACCAAAAACTTTGCCATCAATGGTCCACATTTCTAGGTTACATGCTGCATCCAAAACTAAACATTATTGTTATAACTTGCAACTATACGTATGTGCCAGTGTAGATATCAAGTGAAATTTCATTATTCAATTTCAAACAAATTCCATAAAAGATTCAAGACTAAATACTCAGAACAGTGAGGGGAATAAAATCTGAACAACAAAATATATTTCAACTTCTAGTTTTCCATAAAATACTAGTTATATATTTTCCTCTACCCGTTACATATTTCAACTCACCCTTTCAGATTATGTTCTTGTAATTGAGATTGAAGCTGATGGTCTGCTAAGATTCCAGATGAACCCAAGGCTGACAATTTTTCTTTTAAAACGGATGCTGTGAAGAATCTCAATCATCAGTATATATGATTAAGGAGATGGACAGAACAACAAATTTAATTCAAATATGACTCAATGATACTGTTAGATGTCAGAAAGTGAAAGACACAGCCTGCAACAGTAAACAAAAATATGTACTAAACAAATGAGGTACGTTAGAAAATCAAGACATAGACCTAAATGAACAAATATTTTTGTCCAAAAGACGCAATTAAAGATATGGCTTGGAATTGTACCCAACAAATAAATAAATAACACATTGCATGGAACACTAAGCAAGATATCCGAAAAAGGTGAAGAAAAAAATATCATATAATTTTACCACACAGGGCAACAAGGCTCAGAAAGTAAGATGTCCCATTTAAAATAAACAGAAAAACTCAAGATTTTATTATGCATCATGTTGATGAATGAAAGTATAGCAACAAAATTACAAACCTAAATTGTGGATATTTTATATGTACCAACTGAAAATATTCTGAAATACTGAAGGGTTTTTAGCCTTGATTCCAGCTAAATAAAAATAGTTACCCGACGATCCCCGTGCACCTTGCAAAACTGCAAAAAGTTGCTTTCTCCTTTCTCTATTGGACACAGTTTTGTTTTTTGAAGTATCTCCACTTGCTGCATTCTGTTAAAGTCAACAGTAAGTTTGTGTATCCTATATACTCACTAGCAAGATAGGTATATATAATGAAAGGTGGCACTTAACTGCAAACACTAATGCTGCCAAATTAGACTTTGGATGAAATTCTATAGCTTTGATTCGCGGTAAAGGATACACTGCTTCTCCACCTTGTTGAGAAAGGATACGTGGGATATCAATTGCTTCAATTGCTGCATCAGAATTTTTATTAATTAACCAGCCAAGTACAATGACAAGAACGGTAATAAAGTGAAGCAAGTCGATTGTGGGTATTGTTGAGTATATTTGATTTGATTCTTTCTAAATTTCTTTTCTTCATCCCATCATCATCACAGAGAAATTAAAAGGTAAGAACTATATGGATTGGCATAATGTTGTTGAAGTGTTGTTTCTAGGCCAAGGACTTTATGGACACCTTGTTAAGAAGGCTGATGATATTCATGCTATTGGGAGGGACACATAGCACGGGAATTTCAAAATAAACATAACATGAGAAACCATTTCTCAAAAGCCAACAAGAAATTCAGAGGTAGAGGCAGAAAGAATCAAGATAGCTAACCAGCAGTCTCAAAAAAATTTGCTGGCATAGGAGGTCTATTAGGATTAGCTATAACCCGTGTTTTCCAAACCTTCATATTCCCATCCTTTGATAGGGTTACAAGCATACGCAAAGTGGTCAGCCAAGCAACAGAAGTTATTGGTTGTGAGCAAACTTGAATTCTGATTTCCATGTAACCAAAATAACAGACAAACAATTCCATCAATAGGACATAAGTAAATAACAAATTCAAAATAGATAACCATGATGACAGGTCTTTCATATAGATAATAGAAAAACCTCAGTCATAGGTAAACTAGAGTCACTCACATTCCAATCATACTAGGCTTCTCGATTGATACATCCCATGCCAATAGTGTACCACGTCGATCTCCAACAAAAATCCATTCTAGAGTTGGATGAAATGCAAATGCACTAGCGCCATTAAGCTTTATAGTATTTTCAACTGAAGAGGAGACAAAAAATAAATAACACTAAGGGTATAGCTTATTGGATAAATATAAACAATATCAATAAGAATAGAATGTGTCAAAAATCATCTCACGTTGTAGTGTGTAATGAACAGCATAAGTGTGGATGTTATATGCTCGAATCAAACCATCTGCGTAAGCAACATACTGGACACAAACACAAACAACAAAGAGAAGGAAGATTTAAGTATCATTAGAAGAAAAACAAAAAACTGCATCATGTTACTGAGAACTACATATAACATGAACTAGCCAATAAATAGAATTATGGAAAGTAAACTAGCCAATAAATAGAATTATGACAAGTATAATTAAGAAATACCAGGACAGGAAGGCGAGGATGACATGCAAGATTAACAATTGGCTTCTTCAAGTCTGTCTTGATTTTTGTAGGTGCTCTACCGCCTTCAACAGTCCCAACAACTTCGTTTATGCAAAAACAGATGTAGAAGAAATATAACGATTATTGATTATCAAACCTGTGACAATAAGACATCTATCTACCTACACAGATAAGAAACAAGCCATCCAACCTGTAACACTCATCCGTTTATGAAACCCAAAAAACACAACATGTTGCAACGGAGTCATTGCCAGATGAACTTCAGTATCATTATAAATTTTCTCGGACTTCTTCTCCGGCGAATGCAATACACATGTTTGCTCCAAATCAAAATCACAAGATCTTATCGTACAATCCTACAAAGGAAAAGCAACAAATGTAATAAATCTAAAAGAACTTTGCAATCACAACAACAACTCACATACATAAAAACTATACACAACAATAAATAATTCAAATATGCACCAAAGAGAAGCTCGGCGAGTCCAACCTGGAGAATTGCAACGACAGTATGGCCACTTGTAGGACTATATGACATGCGGACAACAGGTGCACCAATGTCAAGTGCAGAAATCTTGCTTCCTGTCAATGCGTCGAATTCTGCATGCATGGAAAACCCCTAATTCGTAATGTATTTGCCAAAATCAATTCAAAAACAGAAATCGTATTGCTAAAAGGAGAGTCAGTTCTGTGATAGTGCAGTTGGTAAACTCACCGACAATGTAGGTTCCGATGGCGACGGCGACGAGTGCCTGATGAGAATGGAAGGAGGCAGCATGAGGCTGATAAGGTACGACGCCACGTCCTACGTGACGGAGATCCAGATGCTGTAATGTTGTCCACTCCATGAATGAATTAATCCGATTCTCCTCAAGTTTTCTTCATCTCAATATCTTCATTGTTTGCGAATCGAGGTGATTCAGATCTTGTGTCAGAGTTGAGATGCTAGAAAAAAGCGTGGAATCGTAACGAGAGTTTGTTATATAACGGTAAAATGGAATAGCAGTAGGAATTGCATGATCTTCGCGCCACAAAGCAGGAAGGAACGAAATGAACGCGAGATTCAATTGGACTTCTCACTATAGGCCCGTTTCAAATGGGCATGAATTTCCATTTTCAACCTGTCTTTTTGTCATACACCTCCTTTCCTTTTGAATAACCCCAAATTTTATTCTTGAAGCGACACTACTTAAATTATATCGAATTTAATGGACACTGGAAAGTATTTTTACACTGACTTTAAATTGTAATCCTCATATCTTAATTTATGTTTATTTTTATTTTTATTATATGTAAAATGATCATTATGAATGGTTGTGATAGATTAACATTATAAAAAAATTTATCTTGAAATTGTATAACCGTTAATTCCAATTATATAAAGGTGTTAGGTAGTTCTCAAAGAATATTTAGTTCCTAAATTTTATGAAAATGTGTTTTCATTATTTCTTAGCATCTAACCTAGATCAAAGGGATAAATTTCAAACAGACCGGTTATTTCTTTATATTTTTTATGAAATACATTTGAGAGATATTGAAAACTATAAAATTCTGGCTGCAGATACTCAATGTCACGTTCAAAGTTATGACACCGTATCTGACTTTCTATAAGACAGTAAATACAAAAACAGTAAAGAACACGGTCAATTGTTTACCCAGTTCAGTGTGCAACAACACCTACTCTGGGGGCTACCAAGCCAGGGAGGAAATCAACTATAAGAGATATTAATTCAGGAATAAACCAACCAATTTATCTCCTTCACTTAAAACCTATCCAATGCAACTTCAATCTAAGTACAACTTAAACCTGAGTTCCTACTCACTCCCCCTCAATCACAGCAGTGATACTTAAAACAATTGACTAATGAATTAATGAAGACACTCTTCAAAACATACACTTGATTATACTTCACAGCTTTTTAATCAAGCAACACAAACACTCTTGCTTCACAGCTTTGAGTGAGACATAAACCTAACTTGACTTTGCTTCAAAGCTTTAGTCAAGAGACACAAAACACTCTTGCTTCAAAGCTTTGAGTGGTACAAAAACTCTTACAAACAAAACCTATTCCAAGTCACTTATCACAATGACAATTGCTTGGATTACAGCAGTTAAAACTATACAGTTTCTAATTGATCTTCAGTCCAAGAGTTGTTTTCCAAACAGCAGACCTGTTGAATATATAGCAGCTGTTTCTTCAGTTAGGGTTTCCACAAAAAGCTAGGGTTAATTAGGTTTAACCATAAGACTTGGTCACAAGACTTTATCAACCAGTTTAGGGTTGAGCTAGGTTAACCCAAAGACAACGGGAGATTCTGTTCTGGAAGGAATGAGCCAACTTCCTGAAAAATCTCAGAATTAACCAAATTGCACTACTGTTAGATCAGTACAGGATGTCTTAACATTTGTTATGACATCAGAATTCCTGTTTACTGAGAAGACAATAAATGTGATCTTTTTGCAAAATGCTCAGATACACATTCATAAACAGCAGTACTTGTATGCCACTATTTTTCTGCAAAGGTACCTAATAAACCAGTACCTAATAAATCAGAATGTTATGACATTAGTCATGACATTCACACACCTGGTTTTACCAAAAATGCATGCCAATAACTAAACACCTACAAACTCCCCCTTTGGCAGATTTTTGGCTAAAGCCCCTAAGCAATCAGAGATAGCAGCAGAATAAATGTGACTGCAAAAAAATATAGTGTTTATCAAGTAATTAGCCACATAATATCTCCCCCTCTTTAGCCACAAATGGGCCAAAGATACATGTTCTTAAAAGTTATACAGTCATCCCAAACAAAGTAGTAAAAACAACAACTAAAGTCTGAACACACTTGCAAACTCCACCAGGAACCAGCACCAACTCCACCAACCTTTAAGCACTGTCCTCATACTCAGAAGGTTCGGGCTTCTTCCTTTTCTTGTGAGCAATATCAGCATTCTTCTCTTTGTCTGATGTCTCAACATCCTTAGAGACATCTGGATTTGTTTCAGCATTTGAACTTTCTTGATTTAAAGGAACAGAAATGCCAGGAACTAAGTGGTTCTCATTCAGAATTCTTGTAACAATTTAAGCTATTGCTTGACGTACATAGGCTGGCCCTTCCCTGTTTGCAATTTCAGAGGGAACAAAAGAAGAAGGATGAGAGGGATTACCAGAGGAAGTAGCTTGGGACCTTCCTGCGTGCCTTGTTCTCAGCTCTTTGACCTTGGTGGGGTTAGTTTCCACTTCTCTAAGAGGAGCAATCTCCAGGACTTCAGAATCCAGGCAAGATGAGATTGCCCTAGAATCTTGATCAGAGGAAGAGGATGAAATAGTCGTATTGGATGATGATGGTGTTTGAGACATTTTGATAGTCTTAGAAGACCAATAGTAACTGGAGAGAAAATTCTGATTGAGAGACTGGGTTTTGATGCGGAGACGAGAGGGGAAGGAAGAAAAAGAGTGTTTATTCAACTTCTTAAAAAATTTGAAGGAAATGGGAAAATATAAGTTTAACTCAATCAGAACAGACTTAACAAGCATAACTCCTTCAACCCTTGTTTTAAGCAAAATTAATTGCTACAATTCCTCATGTTGGCAAATACCCAACTTACCCCTCAAGTTTTCAAATTGATTTGCATCAAGTGCCTTGGTAAAAATGTCAGCCAGTTGTAGCTCAGTGGCAACATGTTCCAGTTTAATTGTCTTCTCTTCTACAAGGTCTCTGATAAAGTGATGTCTTATGTCAATATGTTTGGTCCTACTATGCTGAATGGGATTCTTGGAAATGTTGATTGTACTCAGATTGTCACAGTACAATGTCATAACATCTTGTGTGACATTATACTCAGTAAGCATCTGTTTCATCCAGATCATTTGAGAACAACTACTACCAGCTGCAATGTATTCAGCTTTAGCGGTAGAGAGAGACACACAATTCTGTTTCTTGCTGAACCAGGAAACCAGATTATTTCCCAAGAAGAAACATCCTCCAGAGGTGATTTTTCTATCATCAGTACTACCAGCCCAATCAGCATCACAATAACCAGTCAGAGTTGGTTCACAGCCATGAGAATATAGCAAACCATAGTTGTAAGTTCCACTCACATACTTCAAAATTCTCTTCACTTAGTTGATATGACTGACTTTATGATCAGCTTGGTATCTTGCACAAACTCCAACTACAAAAGCAATGTCAGGTCTGCTGGCTGTTAAGTACAGCAAACTTCCTATCATGCTTCTGTACAGACTTTGATCCACCTTAACCCCACTTGAATCTTTGGAAAGCTTTAAATGAGTAGGATCAGGAGTCCTTTTGTGACTGGCATTCTCCATACCAAACTTCTTTACAATGTTCTTTGTATACTTGCTTTGAGATAAAAAGATTGAGTCCTCCATCTGTGAGACTTGCAGTCCAAGAAAATAAGTCAGTTCTCCCATGAGACTCATTTCGAATTCAGCCTGCATCTGGTCAGCAAAATGTTTAACCATAGGTTCTGACATTCCTCCAAACACTATGTCATCAACATATATTTGGGCTACCATCAACTTCCCTCCTTCAGTTTTGATAAAGAGGGTTTTATCCAAGCCTCATTTTCTGTATCCTTTGTCTGAGAGAAATTTTGTTAACCTGTCATACCTGCTCTAGGAGCTTGTTTCAGGCCATATAGAGCTTTTCTCAATTTGTAGACATGATCAGGATGGCTTGGATCCACAAAGCCTTTAGGCTGTTCCACATAAGCTTCCTCATTCAAGTACCCATTTAGAAAGGCACTTTTCACATCCATCTGAAATAACTTGAACTTCAGAAGACAATCAATTGACAATAGGAGTCTGATTGATTCCAGCCTGACTACAGGTGCAAAGGTTTCATCAAAATCAACCCCTTCAACCTGAGTGTATCCTTGAGCAACAAGTCGTGCCTTATTCCTGGTGACAACTCCTTCAGCGTCTGATTTGTTCTTGAAAATCCATTTTGTGCCAATGATGTTAGTTCCTTCAGGTCTAGGAACTAGTTCCCAAACTTCATGTTGCTTGAATTGGTTCAATTCATCTTGCATTGCTCCAATACAGTATTCATCAATTAAAGCTTCCTTGACATTTCTTGGTTCAGCTTTGGACACAAAACAAGAGTTTGAGATGATTTCTCTAGATCTTGTAATGACTCCACTGTTGGGATCTCCTATGATGAGCTCTTTTGGATGATCCTTCTGAATTCTGATGGAAGGGATCTTGCTAGCTTCCTTTGATTCAGATTCTGCTGTGGTGGTGTTGGGTAGATCATTCTGTTGAGTTGAAGTCTCAAAGAATGTCTCAACATTACAAGGGACATCTGTTTCCTCATGATAATCATCAATTATGACATTTATTGATTCCATCATGGCTTTGGTCCTGGAATTGAATACCCTATAAGCTCTGCTGTTTGAGGAGTATCCTAGAAATATGCCTTCATCACTTTTAGGGTCTAGTTTTCTTCTTTGTTCACGATCTGCCAGAATATAGCATTTGCTACCAAACACATGGAAGTACTTCACATTTGGTTTTCTTCCTTTCCAGAGTTCATATATGGTGGATGAGGTTCCCTTTCTCAAGGTGACCCTGTTATGGACATAGCAGGCTGTATTCATAGCTTCAGCCCAAAAATACATAGGAAGTCTTTTGGCATGTATCATTGCTCTGGCAGATTCCTGTATGGTCCTGTTTTTTCTTTCCACAACTCCATTTTGCTGAGGAGTTATAGGAGAAGAAAATTCATGACTAATTCCTTCTGAGGAACAGAATTCATCAAACTTGCTGTTTTCAAATTCCTTGTCATGCTCACTTCTGATTCTGACAATACACCCTTCTTTTTC